TTGATCCTTCCTATCCAGGAGCAGGGGATGTCTTTCCATTTTCTGATGTCATCTTCAATCTCTTTTTTCAGAGTGCTATAGTTTTCAGAGAAGAGGTTTTTGATTTCTTTCATTAGGTTGATTGCTAGGTATTTCAGTTTCTTGGATGCTATTGTGAGAGGAATTGTTTACTCTATCTCTCTCTCAGTGATTCTGTTGTTTGTGTAGAGGAAAGCTATTGATTTTTGTGTGTTGACCTTGTATCATGCTTCTTTTAAATCACTTTTCTTTATTTCCAACTTTTGGGGTTTGTTATTTTTCTCATTAGACTTTCTATGTTTTTTGGTTGTAATTAGCAGAAATCTGAATTGAATTAGTTTAAGCAGAAAAGAAACCTGATTGATTTATGTAACTGCAAAGTCAGTGATTGGAGAGATCCTGTCCCTACTCATAAATATAAAGCCAGACACCAAAGTGGTAAGGACAGATTTTCAGTCAGTGACATACTATTTCAATAGGAAAAAGAATGGATTGTGAACGGAACTCAACCTCACTTTGTGTGAAGGTGACTGGGCATTGTAACAGGAGAATGAAGAACAAGGGAGGGAAATGATCAGGCACTCAGTCAGGAAGTGGAAACTTACAGGAAACAGGAAAGTGCAGTTGGTCCATGTGAAACACATCCTGGTTTGTTTGCACTTATCCAAGTTAACTGCTCTCACACAGAGGATGAGAGACAGGGACCCTCTCTTCAGGCATTGGCTGAAACAGTGCACTTTTTTTTTTTTTGAAATTCTTGAGTTTTTTAAGGCAAGGACTTTTAGAGGGGTAGGGTCATCTAGGGATGTGTCCTTGAGCTGTTAGAAATGATGTCAGTGTTTAGTTTAAGTCTTAAAGATCAAGATTGAGGTACAGTTGAGAATAGGGCTCCAAGGAGCATAGTAGAATTAGGTCAAGGAGAAAATCATTGTCACTGCTCTCACCTCTAGTACCATTTATTTTCTTCCATGCACAGGTTATCTCTGAAATTTAAAAAGATGATTGCTGATAGCTTTAGGCCAGTATCATCTCACCTTAGCCAACCCAGAGTACAGAGAACTTAGTTCTTCAAGTGTCCATATATGAATTGTGGGAAGGCCACTGACTGGTCCTGCTTTGTTTATTTTTCCACATTAAATAAATCATTATTTCCAAAGCAGTTCTGAAGAGCAATCATAATTGATTAATCCAGGGTCATGCACTTTTTGCTGTGGGAAACAAAATACTGTAACTGACAGGCCTATCAGAATCACATGGAATGTGAAAGAGATAACTCCTCCAAAGGCCAAATAGCAAGTATTCAATACATTTGAGATGTAAGACAGTATTGTATAGCACAGTGCTTAAGAATCAAGGAGCTGGGAACACATGCCGAATCAGCCTGCTGCAGACAGGCAGGTCTGTGCACGCCCTAACGAGGTCCTGAGTCGTGCGGAAGACACCAAATCACCCCGCTGCAGACAGGCAGCCACCTGATTCCACACTACAAAGA